TAATAAAACTCACCATTTTAATCGTTTAAAAGTATATAATTCAGGCTAACTGTGGTGGCACTTGCCTGCAATCCCAGCACTTTGGGAGGTTGAGGCAGGAGGATCACTTAAGTCCAGGAGTTTGGGAACATCCTGACCTTATAACTACAAAAAAAAAAAAAAAAAGAAAAGTGGCAGGTGCCTATAGTCCCAGCTACTTGGAAGGTTAAGGCAAGAGAATTGCTTGAGCCCAAGAGTTTGAGGTGGTTGTGAGTGTGATGCCATGTCACTCTACTGAGGGTGATATAGTGAGACTCTGTCTCAAAGAAGAAAAAAAATCTCAGATTTGCGCTGTTAATTTTGTGACTTTACAGCCATAATATTTGAAGATGAAGTGAGGTAACAGCTTTGCCTCACCCATAGTAGATGTTGAATAAATGTTAACTATGTTATTAGAACACCTGGTAACATTTTAAAATAAATTTACTGGGCACCCTGTATTTACTGAGCCAGGAGGATTCTCAGGGTCCCCACAAGGTATCCGCCACAATACTGGTAAAAAGCTTCTAGTAGTCATTGTGGCAGGCTACTGACATTTGGAATGGATTTTGCCAGGAAGGTACATTTCTGTCTGTCCTACAAGACACCTTTGGCCCAGTGACTCTCAATAAACAGAGGAGAAAGGACTCAAAAGACCCAGAAATGATTTTTCTAGCTCCACCCTCTAAAAGAACTACAAGGCATGCCTGTGCCTAATGCTAGATCTTTCCCTCCAGCCAGGAAGCACTCTACCAGCCCACCTGTTTCTGATGCTCCCCACAGGGCCTGCATGGCATTGGACCTGCCTGCCCCTCTGGCTCAGGGACCATCTGTTGGGGTGCATATGGGTCCAGCCTACTATGCTTCCCTCCCAAGGCTGAACCATACCTGGCACTGTGTTGTCCAGTATAAAAGCAAGGCACCCGCCCACAAACATCTCTGTGGTCAGCAGCACAGTCAGAATCTGATCCACTTCAGGAATACCTGTGGAAGAGCAATGGGGGTCATGGCCCTATCAGGAACTCCCACTCAGGAACTTCCCACTTGTTCAGCCTACTCATTTCCTTATATAAATTGTAAAGGACTTTTAAACCTAGCTGTACCTCTCTTTCCTATCTGTGGGTTTATTTTTATTTACTTATTTTTGAGAGAGTCTCATCAAGTCACCCTGGGGTTGAGTGCCATGCCACATAGTGTTATAGCTCACAGCAACCTCAAACTGTAGGGCTCAACAAGTGATCCTCTTGTCTCGGCATCCCAAGTAGCTGGGGCCAATGTGCCTGCCACAGTGCCCTTCTACTTTTTCTATTTGTAGAGACTGGATCTTGTGTTGCTCAGGCTTGTCTCCAACTCCTGAGCTCAAGCAGTCCACTCACCTTGGCCTCCCAGAATGCTAGGATAACAGGCATGAGCCACCGCATGGGACATCCTATCTATGAGTTTAAAATTGTTGACTTGCGACAAATCTTTTAATCTCTCAGCATCTCTGTTCCTTAGTGGTAAAATGGAGGTGATAATAGTATCTGTCTCAGGGATTTGTTTTGAAAAATAAAATGAACACATGGGCTTGGTGCCCATAGCATAGTGGTTATGGCACTAGCCACATAAGACTGAGGCTGGCAGGTTCGAATCCAGCTTGGGCCTGCTAAACAATGACAACTGCAACCAAAAAATAGCCGAGCCTATAGTCCCAGCTACTTGGGAGGCTGAGAGAAGAGAATTGCTTAAACCCAGGAGTTTGAGGTTGCTGTGAGCTGTGATTGTACAACACTCCCAGGGTGACATAGTGAGACTCTGTCTCAAAAAATAAAATAAAATGAACACATAAAGCTCAGTATCTGTCCACAGAAAGTGTCTAAGTTGATCACAAATGCTAATTAGCCTCTCAGTAGCTGATGAATAAAGTTGAGTAGGATTTGTGGCTCTACTTGTGTGGATCCTTTGAGGGAGGAGGCTGTGCTCAAAGTTTTGGATCTATCCCACCTCCCCCACCTCTGGAGACAGTAGACAGCCTGAGGCACCTGTGTTGATGGCGCCAGGATTGGATTCCAGGTAATTGGGCAGTGTGAGCCCGAAGAACATGGAAAACCCCAGTACGAAGAGGTTGCGAGAGGAGTTCATGTCCACAAACTGCAGGTTGGACAGCCCCACAGCTGTAATCATGCCTAAAGGAGCAAGAGAAACCGCTGGAGGCATCAAGCAGCCTATGGATCCTCTACTTGGTGACTCAAGCCTCACCTCGGTCCCTATGCCCAGGCCCACACAAAGCACTCACCGAAGAGGGTGCAGAACATGCCTCCCAGGATGGGGTCAGGGAGTGAGGCAAAGAGGGCCGTGAACTTGCCAATGGTGCCCAGGATCAGCATGATACCTGCACCGTACTGCACCACACGTCGACTGCCCACCTGCCAGGAAGCCAGAAGCAGAGCTAGACCTAGGGGTAAGGCTGGGAGCAGGGTTAGTTCCAGGGCAGGGGCCTGTTATAAGAGCCAGGCATGAACCAGCTGGGGCTTGACAAAGCTGGGAGACCTCTCAAAGACAAGGTGAGGCTGCTAGACCAAAGTGGGGACCGGGTTGGGACAGGTTTGCAACACACGGAATGCTACTCTGGCTTGTCAGACACCTTGGTAATCCCCAGGACGCCAATGTTGGGACTAGACGAGGTGGACCCATTGCCTGTGCCCAATAGCCCAGCGATAATGCAGCAGATGCCTTCAGTGAAGATGCCCCTGTAAGGAAAAATGCGAGTTGATGGGGTGTGGTCCAGTCTCTGCTCCAGTCTGAGTCTTCCCACCTCCCTGGCCAGCTGCCCACCCTCTAGGAACTGTGTGAGCTGCAACTATTGGTCTCTAGTACTCCCCACTCCAGGCTAAAAGGAGGTCTGGGAGCCAAGAACCCAGGTTTGAGCATTAGTCCCAATGCCCTGGCACTTACTGCTTTGGGCAATTCTGGACTTAAACTTCCTCATCTGTAAAATGGGGATAAATAATGGTACCTGTCTCTCAGAGTGGTTAGCAGATTGTACAAGAGCGTACACTGAGAGCCAGGCACATGGAGCGTTGTCTACAACTGCTCCCTCTTGACTCCATTATCTTCTCAGCTACTCCCAATAATCACACAACATGATAAGAGCATCCATCACATAAGAAAACTGAGGTCTGCAGAGCATTAGTGACTTCTCTAATTCCTTCCTACACTTCTTTTTTTGGAGACAGAGCCTCAAGCTCTCCCCCTGGGTAGAGTGCTGTTATGACTCCAACTCCTGGGCTCAAGCAAGTCTCCTGCCTCAGCCTCCCAAGTAGGTGGGACCACAGGTGCCAGCCACAGCACCTAGCTTTTTTTTGATTTCAGCTGTCATTGTTTTGGTAGGCCCGGGCTGGATTCGAACTTGCCACCTTAGGGGTATGTAACTGGTGCCTTAGCCACTTGAGCCACAGGCACCGAGCCCCTTCCTACACTTTGTGAGTGGCCCCTGAGGGGATCAGATATTGAGGAGGGCAGGTAGGCATACCTGTTGATAGCATGTACTGGAGGGGGTGGTGCACCAGCCAGGCGGGCACATGCATAGTAATCTCCAATGGACTCAATGATGCCTGCCAATGTGGCACTGAACATTCCGAGGACAGCAGCGGCAGTCACTGTGGGCAGGCCCCACTGACCTAGTTGGGGTGGGATGGAGATTGTAATGGGTCAGGGGTGGACTGGCCAGTGATTGTGAGAGGGGCAAGTAAGGAGATCTGGAGCTGGGATAGGAGCCATGCAGTTGTGCGAGTTTATTTTGGCCACTCAAGAGTCATAAAGCTGGAGTGACGTTTTCTCTGAGTAGAATATCACTCTGTTTGGCACACTGAAAATATGCAGCTAATGGTAGTTGCCATCAACTGGAAAGGGGTCACCAGGGACCTGTCTTATAGTGTTCTCAGTTGGAGCCTGAGGGGTCCAAGTGGTGTTACTCACAGGGGTAGGGGATGCGGATCCAGGGTGAAGTAGCCATGATGTCCCCACGGGCATCTGTTCGTGCCTGGAAGCCATAGGCCGTCGGGTCTGTGGGCAGCACATCCGTCAGGGTCAGGACATAGCAGAGCAACCACACAGTCATGATGGCCAGCACAATCTGAAGCACAGTGGAGTGAGGGGTACACTGAAGGTAATGGAGGTCTTGATCCTGACAAACCTGCTCCAACTTCAGCCCTAGCTGCCACCCTAGCCCCAGCTTTTCCCCTAGCAGTGGCTCAAACTCTTGTCCCAACACGTGCTCCAGCCTATGGCTGGGACCTCACCTCTGTTCTGGCTCTAGTTCCCATTTTATTCCTGTGCTTGTCCCCACTTTGGCCCTGGGTACAGGTTTAGCCCCTACTCTGGCCCCAGTCCTAGTCCCAGCCCCTGCCACCTGCCAGCTCCTCACAGGAAACATCTTGAAGATCTGGATGCGGAAAAGAGTGAAGCCTTTGCCCCAGCGGTAGACAGGCAGCAGGAAGGTGAAGTCTCGCAGGTACTGGGAGAAGAGGATGATCAGGAGAATGGAGCTGGGGGCAGAGGCATAAGGAGGAGGTGGATGGTAGGCCAGATTGGGCCCAGAAGCAAGTACTAAGGGGGCAGGACATGAGGAGGCTGGAGGGCTGGGGCAAGACATGGATCAGGCCTGATGCCTGCTCACCAAGCTGAGATGCCCCAGTGGGAGCCAGCTCGATCTCCAGCAGCTTGGAAGACAGAGAGACCAATGAGGGAGACAGTGGGGGTGACCGTGAGAGGCCCAATGTAGTTGAGCAGGGCCCCAGGCAGCCCCATCAGTCCAATTACCACTTCTACCATGCTGGACACCATGATTGCACCCTGAACCTGGAAGCACAAATATCAGGTATATGTCACTATGAAAAAGCCATGACCTGACTGTTAGCAGGAGAAAAGCTCATGGGTCCCCTCCCTGAATCCCCCAACTTAGCAGAGACCCTCAGTCCCATCTACCACCCTCCTTGGGACCAATTTCTTCTACCTTCACATGTAAACCTACCTCCCGTATCCGTGGATGCCAGATATGAGAGGTGTTCAGGGGCAGACTCCAATTACCATAGATCTCCTCTGGGGACAGTCAAACACACACAAATAGGGAACAGAGACAGGAAGAGAAGATGCTGCTGTGACTGCACCCTGCTGTCTGGACTAGGGACAGTTGCCCAGACCTTCAGGCCTGGACCTCCCCTTTTCTCCAGGGCAGACCCCAGAAATGTGCCAACCTTCTGGGGGGCATTTCCATCTGTCCAGGGCCAAAATGGCTTTGGCTGGAACCAGAAACGCAAAGGCGCTGGCCTGAAACAGCGGCAGCCTGGGAAAGAAGCATAGAGCAGCACAGGTGAAGTGGGGTAGGATGGGGAAGAGTAGGGAGGAGGGCTTGGCGCCTGTGGCTCAAGCGGCTAAGGCGCCAGCCACATACACCTAAGGTGGCGGGTTCGAATCCCCAGCCTGGGCCCGCCAAACAACAATGATGGCTGCAACCAAAAAATGGCCAGGCGTTGTGGCGGGCGCCTGTAGTCCCAGCTACTTGGGAGGCTGAGGCAGGAGACTCGCTTGAGCCCAGGAGTTGGAGGTTGCTGTGAGCGTGATGCCATGGCACTCTACCCAGGGGGATAGCTTGAGGCTCTGTCTCAAAAAAAAAAAAAAAAAAAAAAAAAAGAGTAGGGAGGAGGGTTATAGACACAGGGAGATCAGGGAAAAGGGGCACAGAGAAAGGGACAAGAATGGGGGCAAGACAGGGAGTGAAATCATTGACAGTCCAGGCAGGATTGTCAAGAAAACAAATCTCAAAACAACCCCCTTTCAGGCCTGGTGCGGTAGCTCAGTGATTAAGGAGCTGGCCACATACACCAGGGCTGGCGGATTCAAACCCAGCCTGGGCCTGCTAAACAAGAATGACTATTATAACAAAAAAATAGCCGTGCGTTGTGGTGTGTGCCTGTAGTCCCAGCTACTTGGGAGGCTGAGGCAAGAGAATTACTTAAGCCCAATGAGGTTGCTGTGAGCTGTGACACTACGGCAAGGGCAACATAATGAGACTCTATCTCAAACAAACAAAAAAAACCACCCCCCTTTCCAACTTGACACCAGCTCTCCTACTATAAGGAGGGCTTACATGGATGGCTGGGGGAAGCTCAGACTTTGCATTTGAGCTCCACTTCCCCTACTCCCCCACTCCTCAATCCTTTAGCTCCCCAGGCCCAGGGCTGCACACATGGAAGCAGGGGGTCCCTGGGAGGGTGAGCCATTGAAAAGGTTCACATAGGCCCGAGGAGCGAGCTTAAGGATGGCAGTTTGGGCAGGGAAGAAGTGGTTCTGAGTATTCAGAGTAGGCCTTAAGCTAAGGACAGCCCAGTTAGAAAGCATCTCTTTGAACCTACAGACCCCTTGTCCTTGAGGGGACACCAAAATCAAGGTGCCCACAGTGCTAGTCATGCTGTCTACCTCTTAAGTCTGACCTGGGGGTAGGAGCAGCAGGTGGGAATGGATAGCAGCTTTTTTGTGCCATCAGAGTCATCTGAGTGGCCACTTGCTCCTGTTGTGGCCTCTCAGAGTTTACAGTTGGGGGGAGCTAGGTTGCTCACCGGATGCCCAGCGTGGTCTGGATGAGAGTGGTGATGCCCACACATGTGAAGATGGTGCCGATGAGCTGACTGACCATGTGCTGATCGTGGCCCACGCATAGCGCCTCAGCCAGGAGGAAGGGCACAGCGATGGTGCCACTGAAGCATGTCAGGTAATGCTGGGAGTGTGGAGGGGAGAGCGCAGAGTGCATGAGGCAGGGCCCGTATAGCTCATAGGGAATCTGGGGCCCCCTAGAGTCCTCATGCTCACTTCTGTGGGCCTGGTGACACCCTTGGCAATGTGCCCCACTAGGATTGACTCTGCACAAAGGATTTCCAGAGAGCTGCTGTTCACCAACCTAGGGGTCACTAATCTCCCCCATGTTATTCCTGCAGCCTCTGTGGAGGGGGCCCTTCTCTCTGTGACCAGCAGTCCACCTGGAAGAGTATTAATCCTCTTTTAGGCCCCATTGAGCCTCTTTCCCACCCTTGCTTGGTGACATTCACTGTGCTGACTTTAGGTTTCTCTTCCTGTTACCCAAGATAACCTTGTTACCCAAGATAACCTTGGTAGAGTGGGGATGGGAGACCCTGGGGGAACCCACCTGGAAGCCCAGCAGGATGCACAGATACCAGGGTGGCACATCCTCTATCTTGTATAACATGTCAAACTTGGGTTCTGCGGGCAGCGACACTGGGGGGTCCCTGGTGCACTCATGCTAGGCACATTAGAGAAAAGCAGCTCAGGGTGGAGTGACAGGGACATGCAAAGTCTATTCTGGCCCGAATCAATCAGGTATCCTGAGTGGCCTGTCAGCAACTCAGAGTCGGGTCACTACCCTCCCCCAGAGTCCATCCACCTGCTTGTCACCTGACCTGGACACACCTGCCTCCCACCTCACATTGCTTCCACTGTGTTGGTTTTTAGAGCCCTCAGAATCTGGAGATTTTAGCAGGGAAATAGGCCTCTAAGTCAGAAGACCTAAGAGCACCAGGAGGGAGCAAGACTGTGGAAAACCCCAGTCTAGTCTCACATCTGCCCCTGGAGATCCTTGGGGAGTCACTGGCAGAGAGTTTGGGCCCCTACTGGTTCCCAAGCAGGAGTCAGCTTGTCCCAAGGCTTAGGCTCCTTCATCCCCACCTCCACTCCAGGCCCCAATTGCCACATTCAACTTGGGACAGTCACTCTCTATCAAGTTCATCAGAATGTTTTTCTCTGGCCTCCCAAGGGAGAAGGCCTTCACAGACCCTCAAGTCCCCACCCGCCTGGTCCCCCCAGGTCCCACCCATCCCTCAGCACCTGTATCTGGCCCTCGGAGTCCTCCTGGGCCCTCATCTCTGGGGCACAGGTTTGAGCAGTTCCTGAGGAGAAGAAAAGATGACTTTATAAAAGCCAAGGAGGACTTTACTCCACATATCAGACATTGTTCAAAGTAAATCTATAACCAGATCCCCTGCTCTGGATTGCGAAAGGGGGATCCGGGTAGAGGTAATGTATTAACTTTGGCCATAGTGGTAAAGGCCACCCAACCTCTGCCACATTTGCCTCCTGAGTACTCCCTTCCCTGCCCACACTTGAACCTGGGCATGGGTCCTGTTCTTGTTTTCCAAGAGAGGGCCAGAGTTGAGGAGGTGAGGAGGGGACAGCCTTGGAAATTTACTAAGCACTGGGCAAGGTGGGAGGAAAGAGAGCGGAAATTAGCACTCACCTGTAATGCCCTGTATGAGGCCTCTCTCTATTATTTATGTATGTATTTATTTATTTTTTGAGACAGAGTCTCATTTTGTCACCCTGGGTTGAGTGCTATGGTGTCATAGGCTCAGAGGATTCTCTTGCCTCAGCCTCCCAAGTAGCTGGGACCACAGGCGCCCAACTATTTTTAGAGACAGAGTCTCACTCTAGCTTAGGCTGGTCTCAAACCCATGAGCTCAGGTGATCTGCCCACCTCGGCCTCCCAGAGTGCTGGGGTTACAGTCATAAGCTACCGTGCCCGGGCCCAGTTTTATTAGTAACAAATTAATCATTATCATCATCATCATAACCATCTGTTTATAAGGATTGTTATGAGGATTTACCTTGTGCCAAGCAACATATAAGCAATGTCATATGTACCCACTGGTGCTGGATGGTATGGTATTAACCCCTTTCACAGCTGAGGGGGCAGATTTAGTAAGTGTGATTTAAGCAAATCCACACAGGTAGCAAGGTTTTAGAAAACAAATCCTAAAATTTAGATTGATTTGGCTCCACGCCTATAGCTCAAGCCTCTGGGGCGCCAGCTACATACACTGGAGCTGATGGGTTCAAATCCAGCCTAGCCTGCTAAACAACAATGACAACTGCAACTGCAACAACAACAACAAAATAGCTGGGCACTGTGGGGTGTGTCCGTAGTCCCAGCTACTTGGGAGGCTGAGGCAAGAGAATCGCTTGAGCCCAAGAGTTTGAGGTTGCTGTGAGCTGTGATACGACAGCACTCTATCCAGGGCCACAGCTTGAGACTCTGTCTCAAAAAAAAAAAATTAGATTGGTTTGAACTGCCCTGGATCCCTGAGGCAGGCAACAGATGGGCTGCAGACAGAGCTGCCTATGCTGGCCTGGCCTGGATAGTACCCTGCATCAGGACAAGGATTCCTTCCCCCTCTTAGCCAAAACCATCCTACATTTGTGGGACCCAGTGAAAAATGAAAATGTGGGACCCTTGTTCCAAAAATATTAAGAATTTTTGGCTCGGCACCTGTGGCTCAAGTGGCTAAGGCACCAGTCACATACACCTAAGGTGGCCGGTTCGAATTCAGCCTGGGCCCACCAAACAACAATGTGCAACAATGATGGCTGCAACCAAAAAAATAGCCAGGCATTGTGGCAGGTGCCTGTGGTCCCAGCTACTTGGGAGGCAGAGGCAGGAGACTTGCTTGAGCCCAGGAGTTGGAAAAAA